AAAAAAAAAAAAAAAAAAAAAAAAAAAAAAAAAAAAAAAGCTGTTCGCAGTGACTCACATTCACAGTTTAATTAGTGATTCAAGTGGTTAACTTAAATTAGATTGATTGTTTACGCATAAGGACAATTAGCTTACTATAAATCCCAAGCGGTGGTGTGATATAAAAAGAACCCCAGTTCAGATAATTTTTCCCACTTAAATGCAGTTATACAATTTGTTTTAATTAGTTTATGGCAGTAACAAAGTTCACACTTTAAATTTGAATATAATTAACAATGTATGAGCCCAATGGGTGGAATTTCATTCCTGAGAAGTCCAATCATCATCTGATGGACATTATTTGACATCTAATGGAATTTAGAAAAAGACAGCAAATACAAACTGCTGGCCAAAACCTATAAACACAAATGTATATTGATCTGATCAGACTAACAGAGTGAGATTTTAGATTTTAAATGACTATGAAAGCTGTCTATGTCTGATTGTGAAGTGAAAACAGAGCAACTTAAGCCACATTTTGTTCAAGGGGGACACATGAAAGAGGGGACATTGTAATATTTCGAACAGAGAAGTTATCCATCATATTTCTTGACCATTAGCAGTTCTTATTTCAAAAGTCAAGCATTGGCTAAAATATTCATGAGTATTATGTATAATAGCATCTTTTTTGGGTAAAACACAAGGATAATGTCCCACAACTTAGTTTTTCCTGTCTTTTTGTTTGCTCTCATTGGTTTTTATCCTATTACTCCTTCCTCAAGTGTGGCATTGTCACTCCACTCACCCGTGGCTCCTCCTGTCCTTCCACCTTTATGGTGTTTTGTATCCTGTGAAGTATCTTGTGAGTACTTCTATGACTGCCTCCCAGACTGTGCTTGCATATCTGGGCTAACTATCTGTGTTTGGAGTTTCTATGGCAGGATGTGAGCTGCACGGAGCTCCATTTTCCACCCAGTAGTGGATAAATTTGTCATAACAGAGCCACTCACCTGTCGCCACCTGGCACCACCACTGCTGGAAGGCTGTAAATCCAAGCTCCTGAGGAAAGCCATATTGGTTAGTACTCAGTTTGTTCCCTGTCTCACTAACTCACTTTCACTGAAAGATGTAGACTTACCTTCCCTCTTCTTCCCCTCTACAGCCCTTACTCTTCACTGTTCCTAGTGGAGGCCATCCCAGAGCCTAGGTCAAGTTACTTTTTGTAAATAAGCCTTTTAAAGGTATATGCTCCGTTTAAAGGTCCTGCCATTCTGTCAGAAATCTGATGCACATCTGTGAACTGTTTTATCATATTCTATGTAAGATAGAGTGCATAGGCTTGTTTTTCACTTTTAAAATATTTTGAAGCACAAATGGATCAGTTAATGCATTAGCAAAATCTGGTCACAATACTGCTCCATACTCTTTTGGCTTTGCAAAGCAATTTGCTCAATGTCATAGAAATCAGATGTAAATGACTCTGTACTTTGCATATGTCTTCCACTGGAGAACATCTGGCAGGTAGTAACAAATTGGTATGGCGGTGAGAGGGAAGTAAGGAATTATGTGAAAGTGAAGCCAAATGAGCTAGTGTGTATGTTCAACACATGGGGGAGAGAAGAGTCAGGAGAGTCCTCACACACATGTAGAAACGTTTCAGATTACAAGTATTTCTTTGGAAAAACTCCAATCTTCTCTGCAAAAAAGAAAAAAAGAAAAAAAGTCCAGACACAAGTTACAATCATACAAATATATTAGTTTGTTTTATTCAATTATATCCAATAATATGTCTCCCTTGACTTGGTGTAAGTTATTATAGAAATAAATACAGATCATATTGCAAATGCAGAGACAAGAGATTGGGATAGTAAGAGAAGTTGGGAGGGAAGGGGATGAGAAGGTTTAAGGGGTCAAAGAGTAAATATTGGGTAACGACTGCTTCTTGGAAGGTGTCCAGTAAATGATTGGCGCATGCATGCTTGTAGTCGCTCCCATCTATGATCCTTTACCCCAACCCAGGAGTTCCAGTCTGCAAGCTCCAGGACTCTGCATATCTTTTTTGGCTCATTCCTCCAAGTGATTCATGGGTTTGTTGGCAGACAGTTGTTTTGTTATTCCTCTTTACAGGCAACAGGGAGAGGTACTGCATCCCAGCCACGTCTGCTTGGATATAATTATATAGAGGGATAAATAGATATAATTTTTGCCCCATTAGAATACAAAAATAGTGTCATTGTGGCTTTGATAAGTGGAAGACTGAAGCTCTCGTTTTGCATTTGGAATACAAGAAGGAAAGTAAGATGATGGCGTTTTCCTTGAAATCTTTCTGGAAGTCTCACAGTAAGTTTGATCGTCCATGCAGTACAAAGAACAGACAAAGAAGTTTCAACAGAAAAAAGATAAATGAAAGGACTGACCAGAGATTAACACACACGTAGAAGATGGGTGTATGTTTTTAGGAGGAGACAGTATGTGAACAGTCAGCAATAAAATCCAGATTTGTGGATCAATCGTCGAAAAGTGGATTCTGGGGGACCCAAGGGGAAACAGGTCTGACACCTAACAACTCTTCACTCTCTGTAGATTGAGCTTTTTCTATTTAGTGTGCCACAATGTGACAGTTGAAGACACAGATATGTTTTTAAACATCAAACTAAACACATAAAACCAACATACATGAATAGGCAAACAGGAAAATACAATGGATTCTTAGAACTGCAAATTTTCTAATTTCGTTACAATTAACAGCTATTGAACAAAAAAAAAAAAAAAACAAGAAGTAAAGAAACAAGTCAGACAGTAAAGTCAGCACACAAACGCGTGTGGTGTGTGGCGGGAGGTGCAGTCCCTCCGTGGACGCCTTGCAAAGGTCACCTCGTCCAGCCACATGTGCGCTGGCGTGGTGCAGGGCTCCGTGGGTGTGTACGGTGCAGATGTGTGGAGGGACAGCGGGCGCGCCGTCACAGAAAACAAACGGATGTGTATGAAGATAAACAGTTTGTCAACTCCAAGCTGGATGTGACAGTCAGCGACATCCGGGATTGCACGGCGAAGAAAGCTTTTTGCGAAGCCGTTTAAAAACTAACACAAGATCCGTCCGAGCACGGCTTCCCTGTTTTGTGGGAGCACGTGAGCCTCTCGCGTCCTCTCTCTCTTTTTTGTGTTTTCTGCTGCATTGCAGATGTGGAGGGACTCCACCTCAAAGTAATGCATGCACACACATTTAAAAAAGCTCACAAAAATGGGCGAAGTGAAAAATAAAATGCTCCAATAAAACACGCACTTGGTTTCTATATCAATATTAATGTTTTTCCTCCCCATACTCCCACAGATAATGTGGCTGCACCTTGTTAATGAAGTTTATTGCTTTTTGCCCAAGGACTCTCACTCATTGATTTGGCCTCCAATTTATCCTCCATTTTCTTCCCTCCCTTTTGTACCTTGTTGACAACACAAAATGGACAGAGGGAGATATTCAGTTACAGTGAATTCATAAAACCAAAGCTGATAGATGTGATGTAACATACCCACACACGCAGAGACACACACACACACACACATATATATATATATTTAAAATATATATAAATATATATATATATATATAGCTTCAGGGTTAAAGGGAAGTTGTATTTGCTTTTAGTGGAAAGGAAAAGGGAGAGGAAGTGGAACTTCAAAGGCAAGCTTTGAGGGGACAAGTTAGCTACCACACATTGTGTGACACATGCCTCTCTTCCTCCCCAAGTCCTACACAACCCTGCATGACCCCTTCTCTGCAGCTGTAATTGCTCGGTAAGCAGGGAGGGCCCTGACTCAAGAGAAACGGAAGGGAAGGGAGTCCCCGGGGGGGGGAGAGGTGTGTGTGCATGAGTGTGAAGAGTGTAGCTAAATCAGATATACATCATTTAACTCCCCGCGATATACACTCACACCGCTCCCATCTCTTTTCATTTGAAGATCTACCGACGTCAAACTCTCCAAAAGGGACATTATTTAACATTTAGAACTCAATCCAGAGACATTCATCAGCAAGTTAAAAGCAGTAAATTCAGCCACCGGGAGGCGGGGTTCACTAATCAAACATGTGCTAAGATAGACGCTTGCCGAGATAAATGGCAAACTTTACATCCTGTAATTCAAGCAGAATCATTTGAAGTGAAGCCTCGAGGCTGGAGAAAAGATAGGCTGGCACACAGAAGCTGATTTCAGGCTTCACCCAAGAATTGCAGCAGCGAAAGAAAAAAGGGAAAGTGATCGCAGCAAAGCAAACACACATCCACGCGCACAAACTTTCCCCTTAAAATGAATCATTTAGAAATTCTACCTTTCTGTGACCCTAAAAGTGAAAGAAGTTTCACTGCAAACATAATACGATGAAGTTTTCTCCCTCATGTTTTTAAATCCATATCACGAACAGCTGGAATAAATTATCCATCTGACCATAAATAACTCCATCACTCCAATTTATGCAAAATCCACTGAAAGATCTCACATCTTAGCTTAATGGCATGAGGACAAAAATTCAAAGAACAGTCTGAAAACTGAAATAAAGAGCTCATGCTTCTGCATAGTCAAGTGAAAAATTGCAAAATGGGTGCCACTTTAAACAGCACATGGTAATAACAGCCATTGGATCGCACTTCACTGCTGAACATACACACTTATCTGCAGTACGAATACCTGCATAGCCAACTGACAAATGTTTCCATCACTCACTAAATGTATTTGACTGACACACGAGTGATAAGAGCCTCTGATGGCTTGCTTTAATAAATCTTCAGGCTTCATAGTCACTTGAAAACAGTTAAAGGCAGCAAAAGAAAGAAATACTGAACACAAACACAAAGCCAATTGTTCACCTCTCCAGAGATGTTACCTCATGTACTCTCTCTTTAGGCGTCTGAATGGCATTGATTAAAGACATTGAAGGGGCATTCCAGTGATTTCAAACATCACGCCCACAAAGACGGAGAAAGATATAAATAGAACAACACTGAGAATCAAAGTTACAAGCTCTGGAAGTTAGTGTTTTTTTTTCTTAAAAATTTGGCGATTTATTTTCTTTCTGAACATGGAATATTTTAAATGAACTGAAGCTCATTTCAAACATATTATGGACAGACATGGATGGCTAGGAATGCTATGGTTGACCCTCCTTTTGATGTTTTGTCAAGGGAAACGTTTCATATTTTAATTCATTAACACATTCTTTATCTAAAAAAGTACTTCGGTATTATGTTTTAGTGAATAACACTTAAATGGTTCAAATGGGATTACAGTACTAATTAGCTAATACTATTAGCTGTCGTCACATTCATGGCCACCATTTTCTCACTCTACATCCCTCTTTGATGGTCACATCCCTCATATGAGGTCCTGTATTCTTTTACTGGATAGGCGTTACAGCAGAAGAGGGGAGAGTCACCTCCAGCTTTTGTGTCTTTTGTTGGTTCTCACAACAGGTTAGAGAGCCTGTTTAAATTAAATGAATGGAATGCCCCTTTAGGTATGCTCACTGAAACAACTCACAAATTTGAACTCCTGAAGATGAAAAGACATTCTCACAAGGTCTATATTCTACACTGACTGAATAACATAATCACAGCTTTAGCCCTTTTATTATTTTCTTTCAAAGTCTGACCACATTTTGAAATCAACAGTCATGACACATACATGAAAATATTGCAACTTAGATTTCCCAGCCCTTAAAATACATGGTATTAGGTGTCATGCATGCTGAATTTCTCCTATCTTCCACTCAACAGTGTTTAGTCCCAGACAGTCTTAATTCTCCTCTAGCAGGCGGAATTTAATTAAACATCTGAGTGATTAAATAATAGTCAAACACTGTGTTCTGGATTTAGTTATCCATTGGGGGTGGCTGGTCAAACACACCAACCTGAAGATCTATTTAACAGTTTAATTAAGGTCTTTCGTGGGAAAGTGAGGTTTTATCAGTATCTTCTGTAGAATAAATGAAGACATAATAAAATGTTAAAGTCCCTTCTTTTAGTTTAATTAATTGTTTTCCCTTTTCTTGTTCAGTGCCCCTCTCTCTCTCTTAAGCAAACTGCTTTCTTTTCTTAAAGCAGTAATACAACCCTGCTCTCCTCTCTCCCACAGAGGTACAGTTTGCTTCATCTCTCAGGTAGCAGATTACTTTGCCCAATACCTCGCTTCGCCCCTGATCGGGTTATCAGCTATTATTATTTACAACCCTGAGTTCAGGGGAGCAGAGGATTATACATTAAAGGAGAAGCTTGTGTAAATGTTTGTGTGTTCTGGGAACACCATCCACATTACTACCAATCCCTCTTCAATCTCTTTTTGTTCTGCACATCATCACTTAATATCCCCCCAGAAAGCGTCTCTGTCTCTCTTTTCCTCCTTTGTTTGGGCCCTCGCTTTGCACCCTGATCACCAGTGTTTCCTCACCTCCAATTCCTGAACACGAGGGACTTCCAACAATATATAAACATTATGCAGAAACAATTACCCCGTCTGGCATATTTTACCAGGTAGGTTTGATGTGAAAAATGATTGCTTTTCATGTTGAATGGAAAGAACAAATGGAAATGCACAAAACGAGGTCTCCTGAAGGATAGTGTCGTAGCCTCAACTCAAATTGCCAGAGGCGTCCTTTTCCAGCACATACCAAATATTTCTCAATAAAAGTGAACAAAGTTTTTCAATCAACTATGTTTTTCCACATTTTAACATGGTTTAATACCACTTTCACCAGTAACAATGTATATGACTTTGGCATCTTATAATTTATCTGGAAAGAGAGACAGAAAACAGTCATGCCCTGTTATAACTATCTAGAAATGATAAATAAATTAAAAATTAAAAACAGCTTGAGTTGATCTTTGCATTTATATAAAAAATTAAAGGAAATAATGAGAAAGTGTTCATATAAATTCTTGGACTATGGACTATTTAAGGTTCTCATATGGTGACTTATAAAAGACTAATCACAAATACTGTGAGGAACATGAGTGACATCTTTCCATTTGAGGAAAGAATTTTGAATTCAACCTCATTATCAGTCTGTAACCCAAACTGGGGTATTTTATTTAAATGTATGTATTTTTTATTTAATTAATAGAAGCCAATGAAAAGAAAATACAAAAATAATGGTCCCTGCTGCATAATTCACAATTAATCCAATTATGTAAAAAGGGTGCAGCGCTGTTGATAACTACTTGCTGTTACCTTTACCAAAGCAGGCGTCTGACCTGCCTAAAGCTGGTAACAAACATGTTAAATCTGCCAGAAAATTGTCAATGAATAATCAGGATTTATAATGATATATTAGGGTTAAAAACATAGCAGATCAAGTTTTCCTAAATTTTAAAGTGGCCAGAGGCAGCCGTTCAAAGCTGTACTCCATGAACAAAATACATTTTTCAGAATGCAGTCTTTCTAGACCGAGGGGTGATGTGGAGGATGATTGAACGACTTTTCTGAGGGCGGGTTAGACTGGCACATTTTCACTAGAATCTATTCTCTATTGGATTGTATCACCTTTTGGGTGCAGTTGAAAATCAAATAAATCTATGTTTTCTATTCACGATATCAGACATGAATATCCCACTGAATGAGTGAGACTCCGTTGATGCCGTGGCCCTTGTGTGTATTGCATCCTCAGCTGCACAGGAGAGAAAAAAGGTCCACTTCCACAAAGTGACTTAATCTCAGTGAACATGTCCTCATCATCTCCCAGAACCTGCACACACACACACACACACACGCACACACACTTAAACACACGCTCGCTGCTGCATCTGCAGTTATGAGTGCAAATGTTGATGCTGTCATTGTGTTAAGTTTGTTAAGTCGTAGGATCATTTTCAGACCTGTGGCTATCTTGACAACAAACTGTGTGCGCGCAATACAAGGGCCTTCGTGTGTGTAAATGTCATTGTATAAATGAGTGTGTTGATAAGTGTGCATATGGTTATGAGGTGTGCCGAGGGGGCTCTTGGCCCCCTTGTTTAAGGGTCGAAAGTTTCTGATCAGCCTCAGACTCCATTAACAAAGCCTAAGGGAGGGGAGAGGTTTTTGCTGTGCCGCAGAGTGGAAAATTGAGTCCATGTCACAAACTAATCAAATCGTATAAAGCTGGATGGAAGAAAAGGGCTCTACACACATATATGTACACGCATACACAAACATGGCTGAAGTATTTGGGCCATCTCAGAAATTTGCTGAGCACACACGGGAGATGTGGACTGAGCAGATGGCTGAAGAACTAAAGTCTGCATAGGGTCTGTGTGATAGAATTGCCTTAACATGGCTCTGTGTCAAGCTAACATTAGCATAAAACCCTTCAGGGAAATACAAACACAGCAAATTTGTGAAGAGTGTGCTGCAGAGGGACAGATTTCCTCGCAGCACCCGATGTGGTAAAACCAGGAAGACCTTGCTGGGATATTTAGTCGAATGACAAGATGTCACTGATGACAGCTGGAGGGCATCAATCCAGCTGGTGAAAAACGCTATGGTGACATGCTTTACAATACTAGGCCACTCTTCACCTCTTTTTGGAGTTATTGCTTTTATACCCCAGTTTCTTCCAACCACTGAGGCTATTAAATAAGAAGGTGGAGGGCTGGTGTGGAGTGGGTCTGAGAAGATCAAAGGGGGTTTCCCTTTTGCCAGCTCCACTCTGCCTGAACCTGCTCCTGTCCTCCAAATGTTCACATCAGTATATTTTGGGATCCATATCACGGGCAGCAGGTGGGAGGTCGCCCCAGCAAACCTGTTCAGGATTCCGCTGGTGGCCGTTGCCCTGTAGCATCCACCCCTCCTCTCCCCCGTGTTTCTGAGCGCTAGGAGGATGAGGTTTTGGTTTTGGACTGAGCGTCTTTCTTGCCATTCTGGAGCACTGGTGAGTCACTGGAGGTCTTAGGTGTTTTCCTGGGCGGACTTTGTTCAGCAACATCATGCAGGGAGGGTTCCCTGTACATGGCCACTGTGAGAGAATGAGGTAAAGACAGAGAAATGAATTAGTCATATCATGAATAAGGACATGCTTTCTATCATTACCGCTTTTGTTCACATTTTGCTAATATTGCTAATCACCTTCAGGATGTGATACAACTGCTTTGCTGAGCTGTTAGTAGTACTCACGACATGTCAGGAGGTTTAGCTTCTCCTCAATGGCCACAACTTTAGAAATATGTCCAGATCCATAAGCTGGACAAAGTGACCCGCTTATTCAAGCAACAATAAAGTAGTTGGTCAAATATTTTTGGACTTAATGGATGTAATTCTATATGACTTTAAGATGCTCAGAAGCTCATAAACACTTTTGCAGTGGTTTGTTGATAAAACACTAATTCACAAGCAAACAATTGTAGAATCCAGTCAACCTTTGGCAAATTCTTTAAACCCAATAATCTCAGAAATAGAAATAAGTCATATAACACAAATCATGGAAGATACATAAATAAAGCATTTCTGAACATTTCTGCCGCTGAACCACTTCAAATCAGTCATGCCCACGCATTCACATACCCTCGATAAGTTTGGGCAGGAAGTGAGCAGCACCCTTGGTCTTCTTGACACGGTTTCCTTTCATGACTTGCCCGTCTCGATTGATGCCGATGTACCAAGCTCGGCCCGACTGGGTCTGTCTGTACAGGATGGACGAGTAGGTGACGTAGTAGTTCTCAAACACGCACTCCTTGAACTTGCACTCTGGTGTGAAATGTTCCTGTAAAGCACACATGCATGAGGCAGGTCATAAGAGAAGAACAACACGTTTGGGGTGTGCACCACGCTTTATAAATGCTTTTATTTATATATTTACTCTTCACTTCCACGGGCTCAGTTGGGAATGGGAGGAAATGGGCTCCACATTTCATTGTGACAGGGTTACAGGAGCATCTGTGGCTGCATCAACAAGGTACACACACACACCCACCCACGCACACACACACACACATGTCTTATAACCCGATCCTGCATGGCCACATGCACATGGACAAATTTTGATTTTTGAGCCAGGATGCCATAACTCAGCCACTTCAGTTTACCTGTAACAAACAACAATCAGCCCAGATCCTTCACCTTCCGTCATAGTTTAATGACCCCGCTGCTGGCCTTCAGCTCACACACATGCCTGCCACCACCGTTGCAGCTCTCACGTCTTCCTTTTTCTATCTCATATTCTGCCTTTCCTTCTCCACCTCATTCCCCTCATTCCTCCGTCATTTGGTAACCTTGTCGAGGAACAAACCAATTTGCAGGATTGATTTGGAGCCTTGATGTGACGGGTGAGCAGAAAAGACCTGAATAAGGAGTTTGCTCTCTCTCTACGTCTCATTCTCTTTCCATAATTTCTCTCATCTTTCTCTCCAACTTCTGAATCTTCTCTCTATGCCTGAGTCTCATTGTCTGCAGCCAGTACTCAACACCTGCCCATATCTATTGTGCCGCACACAAACAAGCTAATTACATTGACTGTATCGTCCGTTCCTTAATTATGCATCCACTCACTCAGGCAGCCATTCATTTCTTCACCACCCTTTGCCTCCGCTCAAATAGCGCAGAGTGAAATCTTGAGGTCTGCAGTCTCTTTGAAAGGTGTAATCAGACTGCTATCATCAAACGTTTTTGCACTGCTACAAATGTCTCATTATTTCTATCCATGGGCATACATAGATGCAGGTTCATAGGATTAAAACCTGCTTTGTAATAGCCGATCAGCATCTAACACCGACACACAGGGGCCTATACTGTAGTACAATATAGGCCTTTTGCCACATGTGGCATTATCCCTTTTAAACACTGGAAGTTAAATATGCCTTTCTAATCATGCATTTAAAAAATCTTCACTGTACATCAGCATAATTTATCTGCAACACACTTTAAAAATCAAACTTTCCCTGTGAACACATATGACCCCTCTAATGCATCTTATCAAACTGAAAGTGTAGCATTTCAAAAAGTAGCGTTTCCATCTCATCAAGAAGTCCTGATGATTGAGACTTAAGCTTAAGAGCACACTCTTTTCAGAACAGAAGCTAAGTACAGGGTTTAATGTCGGCATTTGAAGTGGACAAACAGACAGTGTTCTAATGCTCCAAACAGCTTTTGTTTAAATCAAACGAGGGTTTACCGGCAAAAAGGCCTCCAGTCAGAAAACATGATGAGATAAGCAGGGAGCAAGAACAGCACGTGCCGCTTTCAGAGAAATATAAATTCCCTGTGTGAATTTCCTTTGCAGAAAACACTTTTAATGATTTTTTTGTAATTTACCGCTGTGTAACTATTCCGCTGACTAAACACCCCCCCCCCCATACTCCCCTCGATGAGCCGCACATTGTTCAATGTATCAAACACACGTTCTCAGGGTTGTACATGCAGCGCTGCTTTATGAGACAACACACTATTAGGCGGTCATTAATATAGACATATCTGCTCTTTGCAGACACACAGGGGACCTATGCACATCTGTTTGCACATATTACTCTGATCAGGATTGTCAGATGGACTCCTGACTGATTGTTTACTTTTTGACAAAAGCTGAGCGCAGGTCGCCTTTCCTTATTTCTTCATACAAAGTACTGAAAAAAAAAAAAGTCCATCGATCAAAACCGTGAAAAACGATCTAATTATCCTCCTTCCAGTCCAGAGGAAGAAAGCTCAAACATCGATTTCGCTCCTGCAGTTCCTTTTGTGTTCAGCAGGGGCTGCTCCAAATACAGTCCTGGAGCTCCTGCCGCTGCCACGGGTGCTCCTGATGCTCCGAAATTAACTGGTGCTTACTTGCCACTCCATAACTCTCAGCACTCCCCAGAGGATCTCTTTCAGCATGTTTGAAACCACTTGAGTAGGGGAAAGGCCACACAAGGTTTCTTTATGCGCTGCTTTTTAAGCACCGAGCAGAAATAAGAGAAAACGTCTCCTCAGAGATGCAGCAGTAATGCTATATATTACAGCTTCAAGCACTAGAAGCATTTTCAAAGCTCTTTTCAACACGTGAGAGAAGTTTTATTTCAATACATTTTATTTGTCATTTGTCCATGACATGACATGACATGGACTGATTCTTTACTGCAGAGCATAATAAAAGGAAGATGGATTCAAATAAAAAACTTCAAATTGAGAATTTGGATGATAATACATTTAAAAAAAGACTTAAATTCAATACAATCTTGACTTGAGTTAAGATTTTTGATGTGTGTGAGCTCAGCTTTGTGTGTTAGACGGCGTGTACATCCACTCATGCGTGTCTGCTGTTATGACAGAGAGACATGACGGATTCCTCTTACATCAGTGGGAGGCCACCCGGCGCCAGATGACATGCATACGGACACAAGCTCGCACACACACACACACACATACACACACAGTGCATCCACAGTGAAGGATGGACCGGTTCTTTCCCTCATCACTCACTCTCACAGACGGGGCAGTGAGAAAGAGAGGAAGCTGCACAGGCAAGAGAGACAAAAAGAAACAAGAGGAGAAAGGGAAGAAATATGAAACAAGGTGAAAAATAAGAGATGAGGAGAAAGAAAACAGAAAAAAGGTGGTAGAATTGTTGTTGCAAAGACAAAAACTTTTCAGCTCATCCATGGACTCCTACAAGTCTTTAACCTGTATTTATCCATTTAACCAACAAGTCTCCCATATAGGCAGCAGGTGGACTGATTCCATGTAAAAACAGGGAAAAGCCTCTAAGCACCAAAGGTTTTGATTGGAAGTGGGAAACAGCAAGCAAGCATAAGCTTAAAATGACTTGAAACACATGTTAATTCAGAGATTCAAATTTAATTGTCAGCACTGGCTTTCCTCTAAGACGAACATTATTTTTTAGCCAACTAGCAGCTGTTATGATAAAGTCAACTGATAGCACATTTAGGCGTAAACAGAAAGGCTCTGCAAACATGTATTTGAAACACACAAGGGACTGCTGAGTAAAGCTCCACGTCCAAAGCTCAAATGTCTTTTGGGCTCCTAACCAAACTGAATGCCTATTTACACGTTTTAGTAGGGTAAATGTTTTTTATTTGTTTTTATAATTTTCTAACAAACCTAATTATATGGAAAATGAAACCCAGAGGAAATGCTTTAATGCTTGATGGTTAACTACGGTGACGTGCAACTGTGCGTCCAATTCCTATTCATGCATCAAATAAGAGACACTGTTAGCTTCATTAGGCAGTTAAAGTAATTGCTTTGTCATTCATGCATGGGGGGGGTTACGTTACAAGGCTTTGTTCACAGCCACTATATACATCATCTCAGTTCTCCTGATGGAGCTGCTGGTTTTGCCGCTTTAAGAAGTATCTGACCTCTATGGAATGTGTATTATTAGTTGCCTGTGATATAGGGAATTCAGGTAACGTTTTCCTTTATGATACTGGCACATAGCTCATTTAAAGCCATTAAAAAAATCAAACTTTAATTTGTTTTTATCCATTCTTTGCCTATGTCCACTTAATCCAATTAAGTATAATGTAGTGTATTCCTGCTGTTATTGAGTGAGATTGCCAATACTGAGACAATTCTCACTTCTAGGGTACATTTACAACCCTAACATGCAGCATTCAAACCACGAACCATCTTGCTGTGCTTACAAAAATGGAGACTGAACATTTTATTTAAAACAGATTAACCCAAAGGAGAGCTAATGGCCACAGAATCATGCACCTCATTATTTATCTATTTTTTTATAGGGAAAATCACAAAGTTCAACTGGCCAAACTTGGCTTAACCGTTTCAAATCTGTCAATCAGCTGTCTGTCAGTTCGCATCTGCAGCCCTGTTTTTCCCAGCTGTCCCTGCTGTCCTTTCACTTTACAATCCTATAAAATACAGGACGTCATAAAAAGAAAAATATCCTGCAGGAATGAAAGTTTAAGTGAGTTGTGCCATAAAAATATAATGGATTGATCATGAATAGCAAGCTGTTCTCTTTCTCCCAAATATCACCTTCTCCAGTGAACGTTCCTTCTTTATTGGTTATTCTAAAGCTGCACCATATGATACGTAACTGCTAACTAAAATGGAGACTGAAAGTTTTATTTAAAGAGATGAACCCAAAGAAGTGTGAGAGAGGCCATATCGAACGGGCAAAGAAAATGTGATCAGTTTTGTCCCTGTAAAGTGAATGCATGTATACTTTTTAATTCGCTAGTCAAGAGAATAACTGCACCAACAGCACACAGAGCAAGGTTAGCCTCTCAAAAGCTTGTTTACCAGCAAAGCTGATTATTATCTGAGCAGATAAGCAGAAAAACAACTTTAATTGAGGGCAAACAGCTGAGGAAGCCTCACAAGTGTGCAAAACAATTCTCTAAAGATAGGAATAATTATCATGATCAATTAAAGCACAGACATAAGCAGCCTTGCTCTTGTTATATCCCTTTGCATCCAACCCATTCCTTAAAGTTGTACATTTTCACCATCATTTAGCATTCATGTCTAGGTGGATATAACATTTTGTAAATCGAGTGTGCAGAAGCATAACAATTGGTGACTAAAAGCAGAAAGAAAAACATTAGACTACTTTTTACAAAGAATAAAAATGGATGTCACCCTTGCTGTCACTGCATGTTGCTGCGCTTTATTTCTGCATGACAGCACACTGCGAAAGTATCAAGTTTCACAAAAGGGGCTTGTAAGATAAGTTTCTAAAGGTTGTCATTTTTTTTCAAAATGATTCTCTTCATAAACTGGCAGATGAGAACTTTTGAAAGCATT